GTTCAAGGCTTCCACTGCACGGGGTGCGACTTCCAGGTGATGCGGTGCGAAGACTTCGTCTGGGCGGAGGACGTCGAGTACATGTTTCTCAGGATCCACCGGATTCCGGAGTGAAAGTTGTCGATTCTGGAGCCAGCGGGGGGCCTGAGGTGGTCCAGCGCTGGTTCCGGCCAGCGAAACAGGGGCACTGGGGAGGATCGGGGCTTTGGGTTCGAGAAGGTTTTTGTTTCTCAGTCTCTGGGGGGCCACTTTTCGGGCCCCAGGACCGTCAAAAACGGATCTGGCGTGAAGAACTCCACCAGATGGACCCTGGGAGAAGTCTAAGAAGCCCCCCCGTTGCCTTTGCAGACGGCCGCGCGCCTCGCCCCACTTCCCATGAGGCAGTCCTTCCTCCCCTGCGCTGACGGGCCGGACCAGGGGAGGGGAGGGGGAGGGCCTGACCAGGGCCAGCCGATGACGGGCCTGGCCAGGGGGGGGGGGGGGGGGGGGGGGGGGGGGGGGCAGGACGGCCGTCGCGATTCGCGCCGGAGCCGCCCGGGAATACTTCGGACTGGCCAGTTCCCAGCCGGCCGGCGCGGATCGTGGCGTGGCCAGCGGAGGGGGGGAAGTGGGGGAGGGGAGGGGGGGGTTGTCGATCACGGGCGTTATCGCGAATGATAAGAAGATGGTTACATGTCACTCGTTCCCTTCCGCTACCAGGAATCGGGCGATGAGGGCGAATAGCCCAGGGCGGGCATTGCACGCATTCGCCCAGGAGCCTCGCCGAAGGCAGGGACCATCGGCGCCTTTGGGCGTACGTACTGCTCTCCCCTGCGCTATTGTAAGTTGGAGGGGGAGGGGGTCCTCCTTCTCCACCTCCACCTCCTCCTCCTCCTCCTCCTCCTCCTCTCCTCCTCCTCCTCTTCGTCCTCCTCTTCGTCCTCCTCCTCGTCCTCCTCCTCCTCCTTCTTGTCCCCTCCAACTTATGGTGGTGGTGGTGGTGGTGGTAGAAAACAAATCCATCACTGTCGCCCCCAAAGGAACAACTACCCGACGTTCGACAAGCTGCGCCGCCGCCTCGTGCGGAAGCAGGGCTGCCTGGCCTACTGCTGCCAGTGCTCCTGGAAGTCCGCGCACCGCGGCGCGCCCCTGGCGGACGTCGCCGACGGCCTGCGCTGGCGGGTCCTGAGCTTCTGAGGACCAGGAGGGACAACAAACACAGACACAATGAATCGTTGATTCCCCCGGATTTGGAGAAATATGGGAAGTGCGGGGATGTGGGGGGAGTGGGGGGGAAGGAGGAGGAGGAGGAGGAGGAGGAGGAGGAGGAGGAGAAGGAGGAGGAGGGGTATCGAGGAGGAGAGTGGAGGAGGAGGAGGAGGAGAGGAGGAGAGGAAGGAGGAGGAGGAGGAGGAGGAGGAGGAGGAGAGGAGGAGGAGGATGAGAGGAGGGGAGTGAGGAAGGAGGGAGGAGGAGGAGGAGGAGGAGAAGGAGGAGGAGGAGGAGGAGCAATCCCCCTGGGGCGGCGGATCCGCGATCTCAGAAGGGGGACTCAACGGCGCGCCCGGGGGGGGGAAGGAAGAAGGATGAGGCCTTCTCAGAAGGCTCGGCAGTCCTCGAGCCTCCCGAGAGGTTTTCTGAGCCTTCTGAGCCTTCCCCGAAGACGCATGAATAGGGGACAAAACATAACAACTCGAAGGTCCGCGCGGATGTCTCGGATCGGCGGTCAGCGAAAGGCTGGGGACGATGATATAGTGTCGTTGATTAAGAGTGTTACATAATACCAATGCGATATCCAATGGGTAGATCTGGCATCACATGCACACTTGTGGAACGGTTTGGAGGACGGCTTTCTCAGCTACATGGAAGAATACATGTCCCTTCCCCAAAGAGGCTCCAATAAAACCATCTGATTTGAACCCAGGGGCTCCCCTATCTCCGACACTGGTTTCGTCTCCAACTCCCGCCCCATCTCTCCGACACTGTTTCGGCGCCCACCTTTCCGATTCCAGCACCGATTCCAGCTCCCAGCTTTCCGACTCCAGCGGCCGTCCCATCTCTCCGACTCCGGTTCCCAGTGCAGATCCTATCTCTCCGACTCGGGCTCCGACTCCGGTTCCCGTTTCTCCGACTCCAGCTCCCACCCCATCTCCCAAACCCCGGTTCCGATCCCAGCTCCCGTTTTTCCGACTCCGGCTCACGATCTTGCTCTTTATGTTGGCAGGAATGGTTGAAGATTTTCCGACTTTGGCTCACGATCTAGATTATTCATGTTGACAGGAGTGTTTGAATGTCTCCTTCAGGTTCCGACTCCGGCTCCCATTTCTCCGACTCCAGGCCTGGCTCCGGCTCCCGACTCTACGATTCCAGCTCCCGTCCATCTTTAAGACTCCGTCTCCAATTTCGGCGCCCATTTCTCCGACTCCAGTTCCGATTCCAGCTCCCTGATTACCGACTCCAGCGCCCGTCCCATCTCTCCGGCTCCGGCTCCGACTGCGGTTACTGTCTCTCCGATTCCGGTTCCCAATCCATTTCTCGCCTCTCCGACTCCAGCTCTGGATCCGGCGTCAAGCGCTTGGCTTCCGAGTCCGCGCGTATGTTTTTTAAGCGAAATGGGCCAGGGCCGGATGCAAGTGAACCAGTTACTTTGTCTCAACCAGTTTGCGAGTGACACGCCCGCTTGTTTGTCACCTGTGCGGTGCGCGCTACACAGGGGAAGCGTGTGACTACGAATGCAGTATGTCATGTTGAGATCCAGAATGCAAGTGAAACAGGTGGCTGTTCTCAACCAGTTTTAGGGTGACTCACCCGCTGGTGGGTCGCTCGTGCGGCGCGCGCTACGCAGTGGAAGTGTGGAGTACGAATGCACCAACTCATGTTGAGGCCGAGGATGCCAGTGAAACAATTGATTATTTCAACCAGGTCGTTCGTGACACACCCGTTAGTGGGTCACCTGTGCGGGGCGCGCTAATCAGGGGAAACGTGTGCAGTTCGGATGCACCAACTCAGGTTGAGGCCCAACAAGCAAAGAGGAACCGTATAAGTACGAATGCACCAAGTCATGTTGTGGCCCAGAATGCACTTGCACGGCGCGAGCTACACAGGGGAAGCGTGGAGTACGAAAATACTACCTCATGTTGAGACCCAGGATGCCAGTTGACAATTGATTCTTCTCAACCAGGTTGTGGGTGACACACCCGCTGGTGGGTCACCTGTGCAGGGCGCGCTACACATGGAAATCGTGTGGAGTACGAATGTACCAACTCATGTTGAGGCCCAATATGCAAGTGTGGTTCGGTGATTCACCCGCTGGTGGGTCACCTCTGCGGTGCGCGCTACACATGGGAAACGTGTGCAGTCCGGATGCACCAACTCAGCAACAAGCAAATGAAACAATGGCTTCGCTGCGCAGAGGAACCGTATAAGTACGAATGCACCAAGTCATGTTGTGGCCCAGAATGCACTTGCACGGCGCGAGCTACACAGGGGAAGCGTGGAGTACGAAAATACTGTTGAGGCCCAGGATGCCAGTTGACAATTGATTCTTCTCAACCAGGTTGTGGGTGACACACCCGCTGGTGGGTCACCTGTGCAGGGCGCGCTACACATGGAAATCGTGTGGAGTACGAATGCACCAACTCATGTTGAGGCCCAATATGCAAGTGTGGTTCGGTGATTCACCCGCTGGTGGGTCACCTCTGCGGTGCGCGCTACACATGGGAAACGTGTGGAGTTCGACTGCAACAATTCATGTTGAGGCCCAGGATGCATGTGAAACAGGTCGTTTTTCTCACACAGTTTTCGGGTGACCCGCCCGCCGGTGGCTCACCTGTGCGGCGCGCGCTACGCAGAGGAGAAGCGTGGATCACGAGTGCCCCAGCTCATGTTGAAGCCCAGAATGCAATGAATCCTTTGGTTTGTCTCAGCCTTGCCGCAGGTCGCAGGGCGCGCCAGGTGAGGTGCTGTCCGGACCCAGGGAGGGTACGCAGGCGGTGGTCCCCGAGCGCAGAGCTCTACCCACGCCAGGGTCGCAGGGGGTGTAGCGGCCGTGGCCAGACGCCAAGGAGGAGTGCGCAGGAATCCGCCCTTGAACGCGGTGCGCCGCAGCGGTCGCAAAGACGTCCCCCGGCGGTCTGGTTTGCCCCGTCTTCTTTTTTTTCGTCATGCGCACCACAGTTTTCGGGATCCCTATTGTTGTAACTTGTCCCCCCAGATTTTGCTCAAATATCTCGGACGTCAGCGATTGTATGTAGGGGGCGGGCCGGGGGCATGCGTTCGGAGTCCTTGTTCTGCGCGGGGGAGGTTGCTTGTATTTCGGGGGGCCCTGCCGTCCAAGGAGGGGTCTCTGTAGTCGGTGGGGGTCTTATGGCCTGGGCTGGGAGGCTCGGGGGGGCTTGTCGTCTGGGGGGCGGCGCTTTAGTCTGGGGGCCCAACAACTTTAACTTGAAGGCTCTCGGAGTGCACTTGCCATTTCTGTGAAGGCTGATACTACGGATGCGAACTGATATTGCCCTGCTGCTCTATTGCTACAGCTGTGCACCTCTGTTTATTGCCTGCGATCGTTGCTTGTGTTGTTGCATTTGACTGCAACTGGTCGTGCCCTCCTAACGATGTTGGAACATCTGCCGCCACTGATATACTGCGAATGCCCGTGCAAGTAAGTCCACGCCGCTGGCACAGATAATGTTACTGATATTGTTGCTACTGCTGTGATGACGTCCGCTTTCACAACTGGTGCATGATACAGGTTTCGCTTCCTCGGGTGCTACAACTGCCGCTGCTGTTGCCGATGCTACCCGCGCAGCTGCGACCATGGCCACTACTGTTCGCAGTGCCAGTTTTTTTCCCAGAAGTGATCGTGCTACTGTTGCTAGTGGGGCCGTTACCCTTGCCGCGGCCACATATGGCGAATGCTTCAGGGACACCTGCTCTTGTCATTGTGGATGCCTGTGCTGCCGCTGTTATGGCTGTTCGTGCTGCTGCCCGCTAGCTACAATGCTACAGTTGCGACGGATGCTCCTACCACCACTGCTACTGCTGCCGCCAGTGCTGCTACTGCGGCGGACAGGTCATGCAGCCACCGGCCCGGCGTGGTGCCAATCACCACGCTGGGCGATAACATTCGGCCGGCGCACACAGCACAGCCGCCTGCAGCTACCAACCGTGCCAGTCAGCCTTTTTCACGCGCGGGAGGTTAGCAGATGAGTGCTGACTTGGGGCGATTGGCCGAGAGCCAAGACATTGCCACCACTACTATTGCCGCTGCCTCTCCAGCTTCTGTTGACACGAGTTCTCATCATGCTAATGGTTTGTCCCATGCGTGCTACTACCAGTGCAGCATTGAAACTGGTCTCGCATAAGGTGCCGCTGCTGCTAGTACTGGAGGTGCTGAACATTGCTGCTACACCTGCTCTACACCGCCTGCCACCATCGCCCCATTGTCACCCATCTTTCAGACTTCCTCATCCTCGTCCACCTCCCCCGCCCCCCCCTCCCTCTTCTCGTTCGCCCGCCTGAGGAGCCCAGCTGTCGTCTCGGGTCTCCGCTGCACGAACACGGCCAGACTGGCAGTGAGGGCGGTGTACCACCTCAGGGCCGACCCGGTCTTGCCGAATTGCGACGTCGCGCGGCAGAGGCTGGCAGACGGCCAGGCTGCACGTGCGATTGTGGCGTCTGTTTCTTGCTGCACTTGCCCTGCCGTGGCTCCACTTTTTCGGTCGGAGTTTTTCGGACACTTGTTTGGCCGCGCTCTCACCAACCATGTTACGTAGGGTTGGGAGGTGGTCGCGATCTGACCAACCATGCTAGGGTTGGGAGGTTCACCTACTTGTTTTAGTCGCTGCAGTCTTCTTCCCTGCATTACTGGAGATGCCTAGATGTACATTTTGCACTCGACCGCAGTTCGTTTTGCCCTGTTCGCTCCCGGCTGCCTCTCTCCAAGATTCCTATCGGACCGAGTCCATATCCAGTCCTGAGGTGAGGGGGAGGAAGGATGAGGGCTAGTACGATGACAACGAGCACGAGGACAGTGGTACGCGATGATGGAGGATTAGGACAAGGATGGAAGAGGAGGACGAGGAGACGGAGGAGGAGGAGAAGGAGGAGGACGATGAGGAGGAGGAGGAGGAGGAGGAGGGGGAGACGGAGGAGTCGCCTCCCACTAGCAATGCCCACGAGTAGTCAGTTTCGTTCAGGCATGTTGTGGCCGCCTTCCCGAGCTCTCCGAGGGAGCATCCTTAGGGGAACGAG